CCGTTCGGAAATTCGGTTTATTATGTTAAACCGGATTAAGCTCGAATTCTTTTTTTTCTCGCAAACCGTTTCGAGCCCGAGTTCCAGCCCTTATTATTTCCGAACCCGCATCTTTGATATATGATTCTCGGCCCTTTTAAATTAGTAAACTGAGGCTCGTTAACTATAACTGTACCCCTGGACCACGCGTTTGAACACCCCAGCCCGCCCGATCCGCCGAGCCCAGCCTGGTGTGTATGGAAGGTAAGTAGGCTATGACAGCTATATATATATATATATTGGACCCGCTCGTCCCTCCATCAGTTTTTCGTAGCCCTCCCGATCTCTATCTCTCTCTCTTGCTCAAATTCGATCCCTCACCATCATCTCCTTGCTGTCGTCATCATCTCCAGCGGCCATCACCGGTGATCATGCCGCCGTGAAGAACCGAGGACAATAGCAGCAGGCCATCGCGAGCCATTCTGTCCGTCGATCACTGCAGGTCACTGTCGAGCTCTCATCGAGCGCTACTCGTCGCCCCGTGATCGACCCGCCTCTCTTGTCGCGAGCAGCCACCGTGCACCCGACCACAGCAAGCTGTAGCTGCTCGTGAATCCTCCGTCGTGCACGACCCCAGCGGTCATCATCGACCAGTGAACCTCCATCGCCACCGTGTCCTGCACACCCGACGAGCATCCCTTTCGCGACCAACAGACAATACTCGCGACCAAGAGCACCATCGTCCTCTTCCCGTCGGCAGTCGCACACCACAGCGAATCACCGCGAATAGACCCAACCTTCCAACTGTCTCCTCATGATCATCATCACCATCGCAATCGTCGGACCCCGTCCTCGCCGTCGTGAACCTATAGCGTGACCAACACACCAACCCCCCTGCTGTTTCTCTGCAGTTCGAGTCCCGTCATCTAACGCCCCGTATTTTATTAATAAAGGAATTACTAGCTTTCGAGTAAAAGCTAGCCTTTGTTAATAAATATTCATGTTAATGTTCAAGTTCATGTTATTCAGCTAGTTAAGTTCCTAAGTCCGACTATTAGTCGATAAATTATTCGGTTTAATTATTTCAGTAACCGAATAAGTTTCCAGATTTAATTCCGATTCGCTTCTTTGTTTAATGAGTTCGGAATTAATAAGTTAAGTTGACGAATTATTCGAAATATCAGTATTCGGATTAATCATCCAAGTCAGGAATATCCGAAATTATTTTTGAAGTCTCGTTTATGTTCGGAATAATTTTGGTAATTAAGTATCACGCTTAAGTAATTAATTAAGCACATTAATTGTGCTTAATTAAGATTAACCATGTTCAAATCTTTAAATGCTGTAGCATTTGGAGGTTTTTTTTTTTAAGAAATGCCGTGGGCACTTTGTTAGTAAGTTGAGGTAGATTTTGTTAGCATGAGGTGTCCTCACTTAAGACATTAAGTGATGAATAATCCCTTAGTTAGATGTCTAAGCCCTCATGTCCAACAAATGGAGAAAAATGATTGGCTAACATATACTTTTCCTTTTCTCCATTCGGTGCTAACATGTTTAAGAGAAATGTGGGGAGAAATTCTTCACTTAAGTCTCATTTTCAGCTATTATTATGCTCCTAAATAAGTGCTTAGTATAGAGAGAGTAGAAAATTTTCCCTTAGTTTGAGAGTTGCGCACGCGGAGCTTAAACCGCAAGACATGCACGGACGGGCTAGCGCACGTACGAGCACCGTACTGAACAAGTTTAGCCGAGGGATTATCAAGGTAATCTCATCCTCAACCTCTTTTCATGATAATGAGATCATGTTAAGTTCAGTTTATTCAGTTCATATCAAGAAATTCATGGAAAGGC